GGGGCGGGGCTGGGGGCGGGGCCGGGGGCTGTGGAGTGTCCTCCATTTGGAGGCACAAAATATGGTAACCCTACATGTTTGGACCAGCTGTGCTGTGGGGCTCTCATCAACCAGGCCCTTCGAAGAGAAGCCGGGTCCCCTACTGAGGAGAATGGGCGAGCAGGGCTGCCTGCCACCCATGGCATCTGCGAAGGGCCGAGGCAGCTTGTCTCCTCCCTTGGCTTGCCAAGAGGCCCCATGACAGCTGCCCGCACTCCTGCCTCAGCATCCAGAAGAAGCCCCTCTCCTTCTTTGGCCTTCAGGGAGGTTCCCATCTCCTCTGGCTTGGAGGGGCTGACAGCAGCCTCCCCTCTCCTCATCGGGGGTGGGATCAGGTGCCCTCAGGCCCTGCCATCTCTTAATCTACTCCCCACTACCCTCATTAGACTGGTAGCAAATAGCTGACTCCCTCTTCCAGCTCCGCATGTGCAGCAGAGGGGCCAGGGGGCAGCGCAGATGCAAAGGGGGAGCTAGCTGCCCCTACACCGGGAATGGTGCCCCAGCAGTAGAGGGAGGCCCTGTTCACAGGAGGAATGGGTAGAAACTCAGGGAGCTCCTCTTTGCCTTTGCCACAGGGCCTACTTAGCCATCGGGGGCTATTCCAGCTCCCCAGGCCTCCTGATTAGCTGGGCAACTTGCAGGAAGGGGGAGCTCACGCTGCTCTACCTCTGCCCGTGCTGAGTTCACTCTGGGCCAATGGGCAGATTTAGCCCTCTGCTGGTGCAGGGTGTTTGTGTCTCCTCAGCGAAGGGGTTGGGGAGCCCCTGGTGCAGGTGAGGACAGCCCTGCTGCAAGGATGCTGCAGTACTGGGGTTCAGGTCTGTCCCAGCTCCATGCTCTCCTGCACCCAATCGCCCCCTTCCCTCCTCTGCCCTGCCTTAGCCTATCCCAGGATGCCCCTCTGCCTGGGGCTGCTGTGTCGCTTCCCCTGAGGGACGTACACCTGCTCTCTTGCCCCTTGGTGCCAGCCCAGCCAGCACAGCAACAACTCAGGCCCTGAGCAGAGCCGGCTGCTTATGTAAGACTCTGGCAGCGGGGATAGCCGTGCGGAAGCACATCATGCTGCCGGCAGGGCGTAATCATCTTGGATTTCTTTGTTTGCTCAGCAGCTTTCATGTGATCTGGGAGCAGGAAGAGGGGTGGGATTCCTGCACACTGAACTCCTCTGTTCCTCTCAGCAGGATGAACTGAACATAAAACCGCCAGCCCAACAGCCAGTGCAAACCTGCCGTGCAATGCAATGCACTGCCAGACCCACCCAGGAGCAGCTACATGTGGACCACCCTCTCCAGGGGGCAGAGGGAGCTCGGGCTTTGGGGTCAGTTCATCCTTAGCTGCTTGATACTGCCCCACCAATGATCCCTGTTCCATGGTTATCCGGGCTTGGATTTTCCCACGCCTTCTCCTGCCATCTTTGCAACCCCTGACGACCATGCACCGGTAACTGGCCCCCCATTGATTATAGTCCTGGCAATGCAGGGGTGCAGTGCCCTGCAAGCAGTCATTGAAGCATTGTGACTGATAGATGCTGGGGACGAGTTGTGTTCTTAGGAGGGCTCCAGATTCCTAACGGCCTAGTCTGCTTCCCAACATGTAATAATTGTGAATGGGCAGGGCACCCTCTGTTGGGATAGAGGAAGGAAACCAGCCCCCAAGCTGCTTTAAAAACAAGCACAACGGAACTTTGGTCTGTTTGTGCCTGTCCTTTCTGAGATCACCTAGAGCACTGTGGGGTGGTCAGGGACAGTTCAAAGCCACCCAGGAATTCAATCAGCAGGTCTCAGGAGGCCCAGAGAAGGACACTGTAGATACAGCGTGGTGTCTGTTTGCACAGACTAGCACCCCTATACTGGCCGGCTCAAGAAGAAGAGGAAGCATGCATTCCCCATTCTGAACACAGCAAAACTCAGAGAGTCATTTCTGCAGCAGTCCCTTCAGCGTGTTCTTAGCATTTAGGGCTGGATTGTGACCTGCCCCAATGTGTCCATGCTAGGAAGTCATACCCCTGCCCCCATGCAGCTGAGTTAGCATTCCCCAGAGCACAACTGCAGGCATGGTAGAGAGACGAAGGGCTCTGCACCCCGCCCGCCTGAGAAGATGGGCAGAGAGGGGAGGGAGATGGGTGGGGAATGGGCCCAGCCGTGCCCCGCCCCACCCGCCAATGTGCCAGTCAGCAGGGCTGAGCCAGTGTGATGGAGGCTGTAAGATGCATGCTGGAAAGCAACTTCCCTTCAGAGCAATGTGAGGGGAATTGAGGCTCAGTTCCTTCCTTTCATCAGCTCAAGCAGACAGGCTATACACTGCCCATAAACCAGGGTTGGAGCTAGGGCTTAACCTGTTCCTTAGTTTGTATAATCTCTGTTTATGCCCCATTTACTAATGAATATTCGTTATCTTGCAGTGGAGGGATAATTTCCCTAGATCTGCCCTCCTTTGAGCTCCCCAGCCCGGGTCTCACTCAGTACTGGACAGTGAGTCTGTGATTGCAGATTAGCCCCCTGGAAATCAGCTCTTTCCTGAGATGATTATTGGCTAAGCAGACTCTCCAGAGGTGAATTCTTGGCCGCAGTGAAATCAGCTGGCACCACACCCATTGATTTCCGGAGGGCCCGGATTCCACCGCTGGAGTCTGCATGGGAAGTGCGGGGGCCAGTGCCCGGTGGGGAGTCTGCTTGTTGCTTTCTTTTGAATAGCTCAGCGGATTTGCGAGCCCCTTGCTGCCCTCTCAACTCTCATTTATTTCAGAGCCAAATTTAGCTCCATCACTCATAAATCTCCCATCAGGTCCAGTAGTGGTGTATTCCTGAGAGCTGAATGCTGAGCCTTGCTGAAGTGGCCAGCACAGGAAAAGAATTGTACCCCAGTCCCACACCATTTTGCTTCACTAATGATGCTCTTGTGTCTCATATTCTCTGTCCCATGCGGTGGCCCATGCTTAGGCCTTTGTCGGTAGAGCGGCACTGCATGAGTCTAAGAAGGCTATAATTCAGCAGGCGAGCAGAACCCAGCTGAAGTTTGATGTCATCCCAAATGGATCTGCAAATGCAGCCCTTTCACTATGGTTGCTCCCCTTCTTCGACCCCCCCTCAAATGTTTCTGGCAAAAGAAACCTCATTGCAATGAAAAATCCTTCCCGAAAAGAATCGTTTTACTACCAAAGGGAGGTGAGATGCAAAGGGGAAAGTCAATGAGATTTAGACACACAATTCCATTAGGTTCTTTTGAGAATCGTAGCCAAATATATATGAATGGTTACTAATATCCTATCCAGTGACTATTCATTACCCTGCTAAGCCTGCAAGGACACTGTCAAAGTATTTTTCAGAACTAGTTTTGGTTGTTTATAGTCAGGATGTTGGGAAAAGGGGTAAACATCTGAAGGCTAAGCTCAAATATTTGCCCTAGACCCCATTCTGCAAATGTTCAACCAAAATAACCTGCCCAAGGAACCTAAACGCCACGTCACATACAAATAGCTCTGCTGAAATGTAGCCACCAGCAGGTAGCATACTCCATAACAGTGGGGAGAAGGGGGCATGTGGTCAAGGATAGCAAGGCAAAGCCCTACGCTTTGGAGATGGGCTATGAGATCTTTAATGTCCACATACAAGCGAGGAAGTGAGCACAGATGAGAGACTCAGCTGCTTATCCGAAGCTCTTGGGCTGGGGTTTTGTGAGAACCGGCTTTCTCATGGGATTTCCAGTGTTTGCTCACTAGGCTGGAATCCTCACAAGAACAGCCTTTTCTCATGGCGTTTGGGCATTTCCACGTCTGGCCCTGGTCAACGTTAGCAAGTGCTGAAGCACCGGGAATACTGTAGAAAACAAACACCCAAAGAGGTAATGAAACTCATTCGAGCCTCCAAAACGTTTCCATTTCGGGTGAGGTCTTTGTTCTTTCCTGCGTGTGTTCAATGGTTTGTCCAGCCCTTATGAATCAATGCAGTGTTATTAATGGGGCAGTGTACCATCCAGTGATGAGCTAGGATTCCATTGTAATGACTATGAAGGGGATATTTTAGCCTGGCTCCTGGACGCAGACAAGACCACGTGGTTCTCTCTGGCTGTCTACCTTCCAGACTAACCAGATGGAGCTTGTGCTACTTATTGTCCCCACACAAGGTCTCCCTTAGCAAGGGCATGGACAGAGCAGTCGTGAAAGGGACTGCTGACCCCGTTACCTCTGGCATATATACAAACAGATCAGTAGCAGAGGTGGAGCTCAGCTGTAAAGTGTGGAGTGGATCTAAACTTTCCTACTGTTCAGGGTGTTTGGATGTGGAGTTTTTGCCCAGTCTTTCAAAGAGATGCCGCCAACCAGGAACTTCTGATTTGAATCCAAACTTCCCCAAAGTTTGTGCTGTTTGGGCGGTGATGCTGAGGGCTTAATCCAGGCCCCATTTCTAATGAATGCTGAAGATCTGATTTATATATGAATTGATAAACGTTAGTGATATGATCATGTGGAACAATCTGGCTGAGGTTGTAAAGTTGAATCTATTTGAAGGGAAATGAGAAACAGCTGTAAAGAAGGTTCCCTAATAGTAAGCCATTGGAAGCTTGTAAATGAAAACTGTTTTCTTACCAGGTTTTTCCCCATCGATTACACATCTCTACTGGTATGTTACTGTAACGTTGTGTAGTAGTTCCGGGTGGTTGGCATTGACTGTTTTGAAGAGGGTTGTTGAGGAGTGAAGGGGAAAAGGGCTATCCAGAATTTCTGTAGGAAAAGACAGACACAAATAACTCCATGGATTTTGTGAAAAGATCTAAAGAGAAAAAGGTAGCTTGGCTTCTGATCTTCTCAACCTTGAATGTGTACTTTTGGAAAAAATGAAACAACTCTGTAATTTCCAGTACCGCAGATTATGGGCTGTGTCAAGCAGGAAATCTTCTGTTTTTGAGCAAAAAATCAAGACACACTTTAAACCAGGGCACCATTTGGCTATAGACCAAACACAGACATAGCACTGAAGCAGCAGCCTTGACTCCTGTGATTACTGAGTGAATGGATTCCTTGTGTTCTTTAATAGAGATGAACCTGAGCTGCAAAGTGTGAACATGAGACCAGCCTGCTCTCAGATTCAGGTCTGGTCAGATCCAGGCTTTCAGTTTAGGTCAATCTCTACTGTTTAAAAATACCTCTCAAGCTACCAGCTGGATTTCCCTCCGCTGCCATGTATCTAACCAGTGAACGTTAGCAGCTTCACTGAGATTGCTAGAAGGACTAGTTCTACATAAGTGAGAGGGCATAATTAGGTTGTGAGATAATTATAATCAATGCAGTGGAACTGGATGGCTCTGGGGTCTGGCTATTGGAGATGGTACTTTTTGCCCCTAGGTCACTGATCCAAGTCCAACACAGGTTGGTCATAATTGGAAGTTGTTACTGTCTGTGGTTGAGCATCTTGGTCGTGAAGAATTGTTTACAATACACAAAGAACACAGTCATAACTGGCCTCCTTTCCAGCACTCTCAGTAGAAAGGCCAGAAGATACGCGGATGGGCCTGGAGACTGAGCTACTGTTCCATGCCTTGAGGTGGTCTCAGGGTTGATGCAGTGCGGTACTGTTATGCCATGTGGTACCTGTTCTGTGGAGAACTAAATTCGCCAGGTCTGTTAGCTAGGCATCTGTCACTAAAATTCACACCAAAAATTAAACATAAAACCCAGAATCCAGCCTGAGACCCCCCAAACGATGAGATGAGAATGCTTTAAAAAGGTGCATGTTAGCGCGCTACATTGAAAGTAAATCATGGGCATAGGACAAACTGGCAGGTGAAGGATGTGGAGTCTATAATATATTAATCCCATAATGCACTGGTTATTAGGGTCCTCTGTGTTCTTACACTCTTAGCTTTAGCAACACAGCGAGGCCATGTAGCAGACCATGTCGTGGGAAATGTTAAGAAATACGTACACAGCTGCAAGGGAAGGGTGATGGCTCGGCATGATGTCTGTTGTCCACAAATGTTGGAGATGAGCGTTGGAGGAGGAATAGCAATTAATGGGAGGAGGTAAGGAGTTTCTTTCCTTTTCCAAGGTGAGTGTTTGGTTCCAAACTCCAGATCAGGTGGAACTGCTTTGGAGCAGATACCACTCCATGAAGATGCCCCCCAAGAGCTAGGGAGATGGCTGTCCTGACCAAGCCACAGGTGCAATAAGCTTGAGGCTGGCAACAGTCATGCCTCCCCACACTTCACCTTTAAAACTGGCAGCCACAGGCTCTGGACCTAGTTCCCACAGGGAGAACAGCCCATACCCAGAAGGGGAAAATGTTCTTCTGATTTCTTCTTGTTATGACGATGATGATTATCTCTTGATGTCCTAGCCAGGAAAGAACATTCTTCTTCCTGGTGCTAATGTTCCCAGCTCTCGGCTTAGAGTGGTACGTGAGCCAACAGGACAGTCATTTATTTCTCTGAGAGTCTGTTTGTTCCGTAATTAATATACGAAACACCCACCCTGGCTTCAAAGAGGTTTAATTAAAATCCTTTGGCTTTGGCCAGGTTGCAGGGTGAGCGAGATGGGGTACGAGAGGGGGAGAAAGAAGAGGTCACGCTCACATGTCCTCCCAGGTGACTGACCACCGGGGTTTTCCTGGGGCAATCCAATTTGCATCTCAATGCAAATGGGTGAAGGGAAGGGAACATTTCTTAATTTTGTGGGACCTTTTTTTTTCTTTAGAAACTGAATCAAAAACTTGAAGATTATGAATTAATGTAGGGCTCAGATCCTGCCAACCAGAATTTGGGAGAGCTCCACAGGTTGTTTGTGTCCTAATGAGAAACCATGAATAGAAAACTCAAGACCAAACACATATCTAAAATACCCTGTCTCGGTCCTAATGAGCAGACTCTGTGTACACCTTGATTTGTTTTCAAATTTATACAAATGCGCTGATTGTTACTGTGACAGTGTACCCCATACGGCTTTATGGGGGGGTGGTGCTTATAAATGTATGTATGATATAACTGGAATAGGGTTTTGCTACATATGCTATGTAACATATTTATGTAAAGGTTATAATTTACTGGTTATGTTTATTCTAGTTGTATGCAGGCACCATTTGTGTGTTTAAAGTTATGAACATTGGCTGTATAATTGCTTGATTTTTAAGTAGCCTTAGTTAGAACATTTGGTTACTTTTTGGGAAAGGAATGTGCAAATTAGGTGCTTAATTAGGAAGCACTTAACAGACAAAAGAGCTTGGAAGACTTCAATTTACATAAGAAGTTTACCTGAGGACGTTCAAGGTAGCATGTGAGTTATGGCTGCTACCTGCAAGTTCTGAGTCATGCATGGGCATGTAACTTGCCCATGTGATTTTGAATTTTTATTTTGTAACTAAATTTTACACAGTGTGAGGAGGGGGTCTCCACCCACAAGAGAGAGTTTATTTAAACCCCTGGGAGATCCCTCCATTTTGTTTTTAGCTGGCTAAAGAAGGAGCCTTTTCACCCCCTCCCCCCCCCCAGGATACTTGAAGGAAACTGGAACAAAGGACAGTAACTACAGGGGGTGTGAGTGATTGCTGGACCCAGGCTAAAAGGAGATTAGCCTGTAAAAGGAAGCATTCTGGAACTGGTGAGGATTTTATTTGTATTTAGTTTAATTAGACATAAATTTGTGCATTTTATTTTATTTTGCTTGGTGACTTACTTTGTTCTGTCTGCTACTACTTGGAACCTCGTAAATTTTACCTTTTGTATTTAATAAAATTACCATTTTACTTAGTAATTAACTTAGAGTGTGTATTAATTCCTGGGGGAGCAAACAACTGTGCATATTTTTTTATTTGTGTTATAAAGGGCAAACAATTTATGAGTTTACCCCGCATAAGCTTTATACAGGGTAAAACAGATTTATTTGGGTTTAGACCCCACTGGGAGTTGGTCATCTGAGTGCTAAAGACAAGCACACTTTTGTAAGCTGTTTTTAGGTAAACCTGCAGCTTTGGGGCAAGTAATTCAGACCCTGGGTCTGTGTTGGAGCAGACGGGAGTGTCTGGCTTAGCAAAACAGGGTGCTGAAGTTTTGAACTGGCAGAAAAAATAGGAGCAGGGGTAGTTTTGGCACATCAGTTGGCAGCTCCCAGGGGGCGTTCTGTGATTTAACCCATTCAGTGGCGTAGTCGGCAGGATCTGTGCACAGCTGATTGTTTTAAAATACTGGTAGTGATTTTAAGTGAGCTTTAAGTGTGGTGTCTGGAGAACAGACAAAGTGGTTACTAGTTTGTTATTTTCTGTTTGCTTATTTCGGGCAAGGGACATAGGAACAGAAAAGAAAGCAAAATAAGTAAAAAGACAAATAAAAAAAAAATAAAACTGCACAGGGTGCAAATTGCCCAGAAAAGCTAAACACTGGACACTGTAAAAGTCTCTGTTAACTAAAAATCCACTGAGCTGAGTGCATCTCAGTTTCAGTAAACTGCAGAGGGGTTGTGGCCCAGCACAAGAAACCACGAAAATAAGTACTAGTAACGCCGCTAATAAACTAAAGCTGGCCAAACTAAAAGACAAATAAAAAGAAAATAAACATAAGAGACAGCAAGGGTGGCGGCAGAGGCAGCTGCCCACAAGAGGGCTAAGGAGGCCTAGAAACATGAACTGGCTGTTATGGAGTTGAGCAAACAAAACTCTCCACCCGCTGGCTCCACTTCCCCAAAAATCCACAAATGGGAGCGACTGTGTCCACAGTATGACAAGCCCAGCGATATCGCCGAGTATTTCATCACCTTTGAGAGACTGTGCACCTTCCATGCCATCCCTAAAGATCAGAAGATAACCACATTGATAGCAAAATTAACTGGCAAAGCTCTGGACATATTCAATAAGATGCCTATTAATAATGCTTCAAACTATGGTAAATTTAAGGAACTGGTTTTAATAGAGTTTCAGGTTACACCTGAAACCTACAGGGTTAAATTCAGGAGTCTTAAGAGGGGATCTGGATTAATTAATGTGGCTTATGCCAATGAAATGAGAGATTTGGTAGATAAATGGGTGCGGGGGAAAGGCATTACAAGCTTTGAAGGGATGTGTGATCTGGTTACTCAGAAACACTTCCCAAATATGTGCAGTGATGAGGTAAAACAGTATTTGTGGAACAAAAAGGTAAATGCAGTGGGTGAATTAGCTGGGTATGCAGACTCTTATGAACAAGCACAAGCTGCAATCAAACATAAACCACTGGCAGAGGGGTATAAGGTTGGGGAAAAGCAAAATCACCGTTTTACCCCTGGGTCTGGGAAAAAAGAGGCTGGGCAGTCACCTCCCCATTCTCCTGGTACTCGTCCCAAATTTCCTGCACAAGCAGGGGATCCCAGAAGGTGCTTTCACTGCAATTCCCCAGGGCACCTGAGGAGTAGCTGTCCCAAATTAAAGGAGATTAAACCTCCCTTGTCCCATCTTAGCTCGGTTGCCCTCAGCCCTGAGGCCCCAGAGGGCACCCCTACCTCTTATCACACCAGCTTGGTGGACATGGGGCCCAGTGAAGCGGACAGGGAACACATCAAGGTTGTCAAGATTGATGGCATGGAATGTCTGGGATGG